TCACATTAGCATGAATCCCTGCCATATTCCATCATTTCCATTATGCCCTAAGACATAAGTAAAGAACATGAGCTCCATTTGTTTCTCTCCAAGTCTCCCCATCTGCTTTTTTTAAATATATTTTTAAAATAGAATAGAGTTGGCAACTTTACATCCCTTCCCTTTCCCAAGCATGCATTATCTCTATGAAACAGGTGGCAGCAGTCTCTCCTTTACATGTAAATGAGTCTTGATGCCCATATTTACTACAGTCAATGTCTGCACAGACCTGAAGTCTTGAATGCTGTACTACTGCAGACCTTCATAGAGCAAATTAATACTTTTTGAAAATGAGAAAACAAGCTACTAAAACCCAACATGTCTTATTATTTAAAAAGTCTCACTTCTAAATATTTAAAGTACAATTAATCAAATATGGATGTCTATTTAGAAAGTAACTTACTATATAAGGCTTAAGAATAGACCATGACATTAGTTTATCACTTCATACAAGTGCAGAGAAGATCTAACTTCACACTTCGAATTGTAAATATGTTGTTGGAACAGACAGCCATAAAAATCCTTATTTAACTTGCAAAGTCTTAAAACTGCAAGGCTGATTACACGAAAACAGCCTATTCACAAAACCTGCTTTTTCTTTAAATAACTGAAGGCATTTACAATTTAGAAACCCCAATAACTCTTAAACAACAGCTATATCCCATAATCCCTCCTAAAACTCTGTGGTTAAAAAAAGGCCCTCAACACTGACAGGTTAAAGTGGAAGAGTTGAATTAAGATAGGCTGAGGCACGGACTAGCAAGCTAGTTACTTAGGGAAATGTGTTTGAAAAGAGAAAGAATTAGTGGCAGCAGTTTCCCTCATTTTTGTTTTTCATCACAGCTCAGGTATCTGATAAGATTTAGACTCATGCTCACGTCTCATTTTAATCTTGCAAAGAAATAAAAATTCTTTAAAAAAGAAAAAAAGACTTTATACCAGTGACTTCCTTATTTGTGCACACCAGGTCTTAATTTCATTGCAGAGTCAAGGAGGCTACTGAGAACAGAAATACCTCTTTTTTTCCCCCTGAAGCTTCGCAATTAAAATCAGGAAATAAAAAGTACTGAAAAGCTGCTTTTTTATAAGAAAGTATCTTCTGATCTCTCTTTCGCTCCAGTTTCTCCCTATACTGAAAGGAACGACCATTCCCTTCCCTGTGGACTCGCAGGGGCCAGCAAAGGGCCGTGGCTGCGCAGCGAGGGGCTCGCCGCAGCGCTCGTGGGAGAGCCTTACCCCGGTGATCTGTCCTCCGGCCAGCATGAGCTGGGTCTGGGGAATGGCCGCCTGCACTGACGGCTGCTGGGAAGGCTGGCTTGGCTGCTTAGAGTCCCCAGATTCTTCATTAGATTTAGACTAGGGAAAAAGATATACAAGTCTTTATAGTGTAAAACAGATGTTAATGCATACACTGCTATCTCAACACTGTACAACAAAAATCTTTTTCATCTACATACAAAAAGCCCTTGGGTTTATTTTAAGAGTGGGTTTAAGCAATGGCTCTATGTGCCCACCATCTCAGCTATGGATGCTCTAACATGTCTGTAGGAAATGCAGCTTGAACAAAACAAAAAGACTCTCAGGTCTTTTGTAAGTCTTTGACATTGTTTTCAGATCCTATTTCATTTTACGCAATGCAACTGAAGCGGACACTACCTTTTACCATAAAGAAAGAAAAGGTTGTTAAAATTATTCACTGCCTAAAATCCTGAACAATGGAACAGGGGAAAGGAGATTGTGTTTCCATTTTCTGTATCCGCATCGTGCACTTCTAAGTCACTGTGTCATGGATTTACAGGGAACTGGTTAGAGAAATCCTCATACGTTTATCTACCTACAGCAAAGCACACAATAAATATAGTGCTTTTAAATAATCAAAGTTTAGCATTTATGTAATTGAATGCTGCTTCACTTTAAAGGCTCTTTATTTTTTCAGAAGAAAAAATTGGGAAGACATGAGGGAGGAATTGCAAGTGCATGAAGAGAGGGAGAGAGTTTTATGATAATTAAAACTGGTTATGCAGAACATTAAAATTCTGCATAGATTTGCATATTTTCCACCACCTGTTTTGGGGACTGCAGAGCAGGCTAATTAACATAAAGGCTCTGATTAATTCTGCCAGTCATTGAGCGATAATTACAGCGCAGGACTGTAAACATTCTGCACTGGAGATACAGCCTGTTTGCCAACATCTCTCTCAGGGATGGAAGTTTACCATGGCAACCAAGGCAATTTTCTGCCTCCTTCCTCTTAGGAAGGAAGGTCACTACACCTCCTCCTCTTTCCAAATTGGTATTATGGATAAGTGGGTCCACATTCTAGTGAGTTTTATGTAATGTGCTACACGCGTTCTTAAATAACAAGCAATACTGCAACCAGATTTCAATAAAACTGCATCCCTTGCTCCTCAGTGTAGTTATCGAGAGGAAACGGCATGTTAACTGATACACTGTGAAGCATCTGGGACCATATAAAAAGTTTGAAGGCTTTGTTGTCTCTTGTACATTATAAGCAGCAAGTACTCTGCCATAGATTGAAATTATTGTGTTTTATTCACACAAGCAATCCACGCTAGCCACATTATGTACTTAACGTGGGATAAGAGTCCTGTGCTCGGCTACCAGAAGTAAGGACAATTTGTGAAGTAATTCTGGCAAAGTAATCCTTGCAATGATCAAAATAAGGGGGAAAATGGAAGAGCATGAAATATTTCAGGAGGTTTATAGTTAACTTACATGTTATATTACAGCAGTTGACTAAAATTCAGCATAAAATTATGTTCTTTGGTTGTTTTAAGCACCTCCGGTTTCTGAACCTCCTTTAAACCTGCACATATACTGTATATATGCAGTATATATAGTATGTATGCAGCATTATCCTTCCAAGCCTACCTCCTGAAAGCCCAATAAAAATGAAAATACAAAGTGACATATCACAGGTTAAAAACTCTCTCTAACAGGACGAACAACCTGTTTGGGAAGGAAAATGAGGAAAGGAGCAGCAGCAGAAGGAAACAGTCCTTACCTGTACATTTAAGGACTGAGCAGCAGCCTGTAAACTTGTTCCAGCAAGCTGGACCTACAGCATAGTGCAAATGCAGGAAGGAAATAACATAGGAGCCACGAAAAGCTTTAAAGAGGTAAAAAGAACAACCCTCTCTTTCCCAACCAACAGATAACTCCCCCCACAACTGCAGACATACACCCCTGTAACACCTGAATGACTGAAACAGGAGTTATTCTCAGCATTGAGAAAATGAGCATGAACCTAGCACAGTGTCATCTGTCTACTTCTTGATGAGGTATTTCTTCCTTCCTAGGGACCTAGACTTCAGGGCAAAAATGAGTGGCAATGGAGCGTTTGGAGGCGGACATGTTGACTATTCCTATATAAATATCTAAGTTTTGGGAGGCAGGAGGAGTGTGTTAAAAGACTCTTCTGATGCTTTTACCCCCCAAACGCACATCGCCTTCACCCGCTTCCTTACAAGACAAAGGAGCAACCAACTACGTAGCCTGTGCTGTAGCCCACAGCACAGAAACTCTTCCCTAAATTGACCCGTCCAAGGATCTGCTGTCCTCAGGCACTGAGGAGATGATCTTGATACTGAGAACTGGAGACACTCAGCAAAGGCTGTACTGATACAGGTATGCTCAAAACTTAAACTCGGTGTTTGTGATTAAAAGACCAAGAAGTTCTTGAGGGCCAACAGTGAAGAGAAACTGATGCTTCAGAAAGTGAGATTTTTAATCAGTAAGTGAGATTTTTATTCAGTATTATTTTATCACTAATAACGGCTGTAAACTTAAGTTATAAATGTTCACTCACTGAAGATCACTTTAATCAAGTTCTCCTGTTTTGTTTTTTTTCCACCAACACTTCTACTATAACAAAGCAATGTTATGTAATAACTTTCAAAGGTCTAAATTACAAGCTGTAGTGAATTCCTTCTCTAACCAGGATTAAAAGCCAGGCAACACAAGGATAAGAAAACCAAATCAAAAGGTGGCATTGTGTGCTCTACAAAAAGCCCTCCTCACATAATACTCATCATTAAAAACAGCAGCAACATATCTACAAGCATAGAAGGGTGAGTTTTAATTCAAATTCACTATGAAATTAACAGCTGAATATTTATATAGGCAACCCCTAAGGGTCACTTTAGAAATACTTCCCACCCTTTCTGAAGAAGTTCTATCAGACTTGCTAAGTATATGCTCTATCTAGAAAACTCTCCCAGAAGAGCTCCCCCTCACCACAATTCAAGTCTTGTTTGCCAGAGTTGATACAATCTGAGCAGAGACTAATCAGAACAGAGCACAGGCTAAACAATAAGTAAATCAGTTGCCTCCCACTAAAAGCAGAAAAATAGTCAAAAATAATGTTTTATCAGTTACAGTATTAAAGAACAAACAAACAAAAAGACTAAACATGCCTCTCCTAGGTACACTCAGGATATGCGTGAAAGTCCCTTTGAATGCAATCTGAATCCCTTTTCTACCACACAAACATTTTCTAATCAGAACACTAAACTAAACCGGGCCTGAACGCTGCCTAGTAGGCAATGTTTTGTATTAGCCTGCAGGAAAGCTCTGCATGTTAAGACTGAATCACATCCCATTAACAGCAGCCATCCTAGAAGAGGACAGCCAGTTTTACCATAGATTCCCCCCCAGGTGCATAAAGAAGTTGAGATTTTTCTTTCAACCAGCGTTCAAAAAAAGAGCAAAGCCGTGTCAAACATGAAGTTATAAAGAACCTGACAGCTGTTTAAATAAATACATTGTCAAAGCAAGATAAAATACTTTGCCAAATACAATTAGCATCCTGGATCCACCTATAAAACAAAAACAAAAACTAAAGCAAACTACCAAACACACAAAACTCTTCAGAATATCTGCATCTGTCTCCATGTTAAACACATACCAACAACCCATGAAAACTAGTCAGCTTCTCTCCGCATAAAGGCATCCCTACAACAGACTATAGATTTAGCAAATTCAAACACTGGCACCCCCTACATCCTACATAGCTGCATCCTCTGCGAAAATTACAATTATGTGACAAAAAGTATTGAATGTTCCACACAGTGAAATGGCAATTCCGAGCTCTTAAAGAGGGTATAAAAGCTTCAATATCTCAATTATAACACAATAACTGCGCAACCCCAGACCTCAAGCATTCAAGGTCATCCAATTAGCTGCAGTATTTTATTTAAACTTGGTGCCAAGGAAGGGAAAGAAAGCAGGACATTTGTTTTCATACATCAAGAGTGATCAGGCAGAAAACTACCAAAAGAAACTACAGAAAAAAAAAAGCCCTAAAATACTTCTTACACTTCTCTGCCTATGGATGCCCTGTTTCCCATCAGCCTGTATCTAAATATCAGCTCTGATTCCCTAGAGCAGCAGCAGAATGGAGGAAAGGTAGTAGGTAGAAACCTGAATATCATACGGCAAACATCCTTCAAAAAAAATCTTTTTATTCAAAAGTCCCCAAAAGGGGGCTATTTGCCCAAGATAGGTCTCACGCAACTTGGCACACGGTCATAGCCTAATGAATACTGCCTCCCACAAACAAGACTTTTTCCCACCTAAGGCAGTTAGGCATGTGGCCTAAACATACGTGCTTTGACATGCCTCCCCATTATTCATATAAAGAAAGAACATACAAAAAAAAAAAAAGGTATGTTTCTACCTGCCTGAATCTCTCCCATTTTGAAATGGGTCTTTCTCTTACCTGATGAAGGTGCCCAAGGAAGGCCTGGGCCTGAGCTGTAGAGATTGCTCCTCCGACAGGCACAGGCTGCTTTTGAAAGTCCAGGCCATTTGTTTGCGTGCCTGGAAAAACAGAGAGACAAAATGAACTATTAGTTACACCTTTTACACAAACAGAATGAGATTTAATATTCCTAAGTCTCCTGCTCTTTGCCCACTAAAATGGGGTAGAAAAGCCCACCAAGAGGCACAAGAATTAGAGGTGGTTTTATTGAAGTCCTGTCACTTTCAGACTTTGATAATACAGCATTTGTCAGCTGAACAGTGTCAACCTCAGTCTCCTTCATTTCTATTATCCTACTAACCCTATGCACACCATTACATATCATGCTCTGCCATGGTTTGAGAACAGAATGACTGCCTGTTGCTTAAATTACACTTAAATGCTGCATGCACTATCTGTTTTGTGCACTCTCTATCCAAGAGCTGAAAACCATTTTGAAGCTCAGAAATTGAAAAAATTAAGTTCAAAAGTAGTCAACAGGACTACTTTTAAGGACAGGGAAAAGAATACTCGAGCAAGACAAAGTACCGTATGTATGTAACGGTTACAGGCCAAAATTCTGCTATCTTGATAAGCCACCTCAGCATTTTCATGAACATTTGTGCAGAGCTCTTATTATATAAAATAAGTGACTGTTCTTGCTTTTGTTCTCATCCACTTTGAAATAACTACAAAGAGATTATTTTATTACATTTTTTTTTCTTCCTCCTATAGGAAGCCCTAAAGGGCTCGACAGACATGAAAGCACCCAAACTACCCCAAATCGTCTGGTTATGAAAAAAGATTGGAATATTTTTTCACAAGAAACTATCACAGAATTCTCTTCTGCCACGGGAAGCTATAACCATAAGCTTTTAAGAATCACTCCGTGTGGAGATAATAAAAATCAATATTAGTGACAACTGTCTTGTAAGTTGGGTATTATTACTACCTATAGAGGCTAACAATAGCATGGGAGATTTCCAATTTATAAAGCAACGTGGAATTCCTAGAACAAATTAGGCCATCTTAAAAAGGGGTGATTAAAATAAGAAGTAAAGGTAGGTTTATGCTTGCATGTTTATTCCCTAATGACAATCAGATTTTTGTTCAATGCCTACGGACGAACGTTCAACTAGGTCCTACTTCAACATTCACTACATCATCTACATTTTTCTGAGCCAAAAGGTTATCACTTCCACGAAAGGTTATCTACGTTATCCACTTCCTTAAAAACCTCTGCAAAACCAAGAAGGCATAAAATTTACTAGTAAGATATAGGATCCACCAATATTTTACATAGTTGGTTTATCTACAGCTTACAGAGATACCATATTTCAAAGATGGTGTCACCATTCAATTAGATGCAGATACAGTCAAGCTTTCCAGCACCTACATGAGATGTATTGAAGATAATCCTTTGATGTATTTGACAGCCCTTTGTTTTGGATAGCGGTGGTGGTGGGGAATCATTCTTCAATTTTTCACCACCTTCTCCAAATTGAATGGAATGACTATCACTGGCCTGAATAATACAAATGCAATCTGAATGCATTTCTCAAAAATAAGCAAGAGAGAAGGTCTGCTGGAAAGAGCTGGAAGGTCTCACCTACTTCCATTTTTTTTCCAGCAAAGTCCAGAACCCTGACCATGCAGAAGTACAAAGAGAAGATGGTTGGCTAAGGATATAAAAGTAATTCGTGAGAAATAGCTACTGTAATTAAAAAGAAAACAATCTACCCCTGCTCATTTATGTGAATGCTTTGTAGGAGCTTTTTCGCTCCACCTCCCTACTGAAGCTAGTAAGCCAAATTTTTCTTTTCTGGGAAAACTAGCTGGAAACATAACCTTAAGTAACTAGGTGGAGCCAGTCTAGCTAGCTGTCTTCCAAACAGCACCAAATCACGACACCATATGAGAAGAGCATTGCTGTGCCCACATACAGAAATAGCCCGGTTGGCACTTCACTTGACTCTTCAGGCGCAAACCTGACACAAGTCTGTTGAGGATAACAGTTTTAAACAATCTGAGTTCCAAGTCTTAGCTAACATCTCCACAGGCACAAAGACCAGCCTGGACAAGTGCTGAGAGAAAGTAACATGCCCTTCAAATTGATTCTTGAAGCATCAACACTCTCTCCCCAACCATCGCTTTAGAATACCCTCAAGCAAAGCAAAAAGCCCTCCACACCTCCTGTTCACTCTCTGTTTTGCATCTTAAGTTTTTTGGTATCCGAAAGCAGTGTGTCCCTCTCCTTCACACGCAGCCTTAGTTTTATAAAGAACTCTACCACACGTCCTTGTGTCTATACCTACATCTATCTCTTGAAGAAGAGTGGGGAAAACTCGGAAGGACATGGCACTCCTCCCGTGGAGGCCAACATCTTAGAGAAGGCCACGGAGGAGGGAGCTCCCAGAAGCAGGTCAGCACACTCAGGGACAAAATGAGGACGGTGCCATTTCTGCTCAGGTTAAGAGTTAAATACACAGACATGAAGATTAAAGCTAAGGCAAGTGCCTCCTTAACAGTCACAGGTATTTATATTTTTTCCATCGTAATTCCAGCTCCCACAGAACTGCTAGAGCAGATCTAACAGCTCATCAGCACCCAAAAGAAGTGAGAGTGGGCTCTCATCTTTCCTCTCTTCTTGCTCCCAGGTGTGTTGCCCCTGTTCCTCCTCCTCTGATACTTTATAGATCCTGCAGTAAGCTAAATCAGCTTGCTAACTGAAGAGAGGACTACTGCTCCCTCTTGGTCTGGGGCAAGTTAGGACTTTGCCAGATAAGTCGGATGAATTAACTTATTTAGCTCAGGGCCCGAGGACAAGCAGCCGACAGTACAAAGTCAGATACTTTAGAGTAGCGCATCTGAACGTCATCAAAGAAGTAATAGTCATTAAACAGAAAAGAACAAAAGGTTGAACAAGTTTTGAAAATGCTCTAAGCTCAGTAAAAAAAAAGAAAGGCTATCAGTTTACTGAGTAGGACACTCGGTCTTGCTTTTTCTAAGCTCAGTAAGAAAAAAGAAAGGCTATCAGTTTACTACTGAGTAGGACACTCGGTCTTGCTTTTCCTTCCCTTTTGCAGTAGATACTAGGTAGACTGACTAAACAAAACCAAAGATTGAAAAGATTTATGCAGTTCTGAGATACTGGTCCCTCAAACTATGTTCTTATTGAAATGGTTAGCCAGAATAAGGCTTTTTTTTTTTCTTTTTTAAATCTGAAACACAGGTTACTTTTTCTGATGCCTAAAGGAGAATAAAATTAGCAAAAAAAAAAAAAAAGGTAAAAATTTGTTTCAGGCATTTCATTGCAACTAATCTATTCATGTTCTCTAAATAGGCAGTGTTAGAAGCATATAAACCTGATTTGCTAATTTCCATGAAAATCAGCTATTAACTCACAGAACTTTTGATTTAAGTCATCTTTACCAGTAGCAATCAGATTTTTCCTGAAGACACTAGCTCTGCCAGATGCAAATTTCATGCACGATAGTAATTTCTCCTGAAATTGTCAAGTTTCATCAGCTCACTAGAGGTTTGAAACAGCAATGACTCAAACAAACATCCACTGAGGATTAATAGATAGACTAGCAGTACTTAAACATGAGACTCAAATGACTTGATACAAACATCACTGGGAAATTGGTGAGGTTATCAAAAGTTATGAAAATAGGAACTCAGAGTTACCAAATTTATCTGCATGCATTTAACCTCCTAATCAATCAATAGCACTTTCTCCCAGAGCATTTAAGCAAAGCACAGTTCTTTTTACTAAGTATACACAGAGCTTAGAACCCTAATTTAGGTACCCTGGTCACCTAAAAAGTAAAATTACACTTTATGAATATTCCTTTCAGGGTTTAAAAATCTACCAGTTTACTCAGGTAATCGATGTTTGAGCTTCCAAAGAACATCAAAAGTAATATTAATCACTACCTGCAACAATTTATGAGCGCTAGGTGTAAAAGCAAAATAAAGACTGCAGAACCAAGAGACCTTAAACATTCTAGATTCTTTTAGCCTGTATCATGTAAAAATTCAATAAAGTCTCAAATGAATGACTGAGAACAATTAAATTACAGGAGCAACACTTGCAAAAGCTCCAAACAAATGCCATTAAGAGAGTAATCAAATGCATGTAATAAAGCAGCCTTAATATTAGAATATAAAGACCGCAGACACCGTGTCCCCTGTTGTGACAAAAGCACCTATGTGCAGCTTTATAATCCCGCAATTTCTTTATACTGTTACCACTGTCTTTATGCTGGTGATCTATATGCCTCAGGACAGCACAGCTACGAAAGCAGAGGGAATACTTATGTAATAATGAGCTACCTAAAAATAAACTAAGTCTTTCTCGTTAGGAGTTTAATTTAGGCAAAACTGCTAGCTAAAGTTGCATTTGAGGACATCCATTGGGGATGCACTCCTCTGAGAAAGCATATGCAGGGAACTGCGCTCAAACTAAGTAGGAACTACATTTTTTCCTCACAGCGTGCCTCCAGTCACAATGACTTTATAGAAAAGGGAAATTTAAAGCCATTGGTCTCTTGATGCTATCTACTACTATGAAATATTTATAGCATGCAGATTTTTGAAAATAACAGTTTTGTATCATCCTAAAAGAGCATTAAATTCATTAGAAAATATTTTGTACAAGAAAGGAGTGATGGCCCCATATTACCAACACAACTGAAATTAGAAAAACTGGGATGCCAATAATAAAAAGCATATTGATAAGTGAGCTGAATTCCTTTTGACCGACCCCTTCTATTGGCAAAAACATTCAGCCTCTTGGACCAGTATTGGAAACAGTCAGTTACTGTTAGCTGCAGAGCCTTGCAAACAGAATAAGGAGGTAACAGCACAAAATGCAATAAATTGTTAATTTCATCATACTTTCCCGAGTGAAAAATAACAGAAAACTCTTATTATTGAGCAAGAGGAGACAAAAATATTTTTCTCATGGAAGGAAGCTAGGACTCTCTCAAAGCAACAAGAACAAGTTCCTCTGCCCAAAGAGTATCCTGAGCTCTGAGGAGATTCTGCTGGCTTTTTGGAGTTGTCATTTCTCTTGTTTTCAAAATGAACCTTAAACGACCTCCAGAAATGAATGAAGTCATGTGGTTGACCCACCATGATGACGGTGGCTTTGAAAGCTTCTCAAGGGTTTATAAAGCTTAGCCACATCTTAAGGATGAGCCAAAAGGTGCAACACTAAGTTCCTCTGCCAAATTTCAAGGTTCTGTTCTAACACATGAAGACGTTACAGAAAAGGTCACTAACATTTTTTAGCGTTGAGAAATGGTGCTTTCCCCCTTTGCCTCGGTTCTTGAGAACTGTTGCGACAGCTTGAATGAAGTCTAAAATGGAAACAAGATCAGCCAATGGCCCACATCCACCATGGAAAATTTCACCCCCAAAAGAAAGTGCCGACGTTAGAGGCAGCTGAAGGTGGGTTCTGCAAGGAAAGGACGAGACAGCTTTATGGAGAGCTGTGCCCACCCGGCTTTCCACACTGTCAGAAACATTTCAGAGAGAGGACGGACGGATGGGGACTGGCATGTACATAGTGATGATGATGCGTGAGGAGTGTTCTGCATACACTAGGGTTAATGACTTGTTTTCAGCATATTGTGACAAGCGGAATTCAAGTCTTAAAGAGTAGTAATCAAACAAACAAAACAAAACAAAACCCTGCAAATTGTGAAGAAATTTTGCTTTTCACACCCATTCAATTCCACTAGGAAGCAAAACAAAACCCTGCAAACTGTGAAGAAATTTTGCTTTCACACCCATTCAATTCCACTAGGAAATATCCGCGCTCCAGGACATCATTTCTTACCTGTGTTCCCATCCCCACTCTCCATTGATGGTTTACTGGTTTCTGACGGATTGTTCATTCTTGAGTCTGCATTAAAACAGAAGTAAAAGATATAAAGTAACAGAGAAAACAAAACATGCGAAAAAACCCCACATCTATTGATATCTTCTTGTTCAGAAAGAACAGAGCAAAATCTGACACCAAAAATCTGATACCTACTTTACCCTAACTCATCTTACTGCACAAGAAAAAGTATGTCCCAGATGCAGAATGAAACGCTGAATTTTCCAGTTAAATGCTGTTTCCAAATATGTATGCTATTGTCCACATATGTGAAAACATGGTGCTAAGGCATTAAAAGTCAGAATGGTGCAGGGCAAAGATAAGTAGAATTTACTAATTTTCAGCACAGTTAAACAGTCATAGAAGAAAAGAAACGATAAAGATTCCAAAACAGTACATCAGACCACCATGGCCTACATTATTTTTCCACAAGAAAAGGAAATCCAGTTGTTTTAATTTAAGATGCCATTATCTAATTCTAAATTTTTATTTTACAAGAATGTCACTGATGTTAAGTTATTCGGTATTTCCTACCTATTTTTAAAATCTAAGGTTTTGCACGTTTTCTCTTCCTACTCCCTCTGAAGGAATCTATTGAAAAGTCTGCCCTCAGTTTCAAAGCTTGTCAGCTGAATACAGTGCAGTGCAGAGGGCCTCTCCAGATGGCAGACAGAGAATACAGTTTCCTTACACAGGAATCTATACAGCTGTTCCCTGCACAGCGTCAGCTCTCCAGCTTATTACCTCCTCTTTCTTTTATACCAACCGCAGTATAGCGCATTATCACAAACCACAACTAGAAGAAGAATCTGAAGACAGACCAGTTGATAAAATGAGGTATAAGCAAATCCCTGCAGCCATTCTTCCATTCCCATAACTAGTTAAAGGGAAGCTCAATGGCCTAAGAGCAAACCTTTCAGTCCAGGATATTCTCTTGCCAGGTATATTTAATGTCACTGACATCACCTGCTTCCAGCAAGGCAGTAATGCCCAAAATCCCAGAGGGTGGAAAAAGAATACAGTAATAGTGTTAATTGCTGTATCTTTTCCCCAAGTACTTCCAAGGATCCCCAGATCCTTCACTGCTTGGCAGAGTACAGAAGAGCTAAAAAAGAGCAGGTGGTCCATAGCTGCATTTAGCACTGCTCTTGCCCAGTGGAAACTGGTGCCATGCACAGGACATCAGAACCAGGGAAAGGTAACACAGGCATGAACAAAATGCAAGGAATGAAGCAGTTATCAAATGACAAGCGAGTCACATTGAACTTCGTCTGGGAGCAAGAAGTAGAAAAAGAAAAAAATATAAAGTACATTAAATTCAGAAGAACTTCATCATGCTCTAAGGAAAATCAATTTAAGATGTACCAATATTTTTAAACAAATACTGAGCTGAACCAAATAGAGACCTGGAAAATCCAGAGGACAAATGAGAACCTTTCCCTAAGAACTTAATTGGCTTCTTCAGAGTCTCTACAAGTCTCAAGAAGTTTCTCTGAGCAAACTTCTGAATGTCAGCCACATCTAAAAGATATCTGAATGAGCTTGCAACACGTCTCCATCAGTGTTGCTCTCTCCACAAAGGCAGATGTGCTACACTGCTTTTTCAAGCAGGGAGCAGGAGGAGACAAGCAGTGCTCCTGACCCACATTCAGCAGAGGGACAGCAGTTTTGCCCTGTTCCTTGGGAGATCTGCTTAGTGGATTCCAGGTGAGTGTTCACTGCCTCGTCGGGCAGCTCTCTTAGGACTGCAGCTACAGAAACTATAGCCTCCTAACCCGCTATTCTCCTTATTATTATCATTTTTTCATGTTTGGTTTGTATGATAAAAGCTCTAAAAGGAGAGAATATGGGGATACTGGCTACACAACACACAGCTACTCCTTGCTGTTGCATCTGTATGTAAAACAAATTTAAACTATATTTTTATGTAGCAGTTGTGCATTCCTCATTGTTGTGGTAAGGGCACAGCACATTTATTTAAATTGATTGTAGGCAACATTCATTTGACAGACAGCATTAATTTGTTCCTTGACGCACAGCTGGCTACTGAAATTAGGTTGGGTTCAGAGAAAAGTTAATGGGCAGACTCCTCTTTGGGCCCTAAATGAACAGTGTTCATCCGGCAAAAAAGAGCAAGAGCAGCCTAAAAGTAATTTCTTATATATATAAGAAACCATACATAAATATATACATATGTATTTGGTGGAAAACAGCTAACTTTTGCTCTCAAATACATCCTCTGCCCTATAGCCCAACAAGGAGAGCTCCTGACAGGGCTGACGACACGAGGGGAGAGCACCGATTCCCAGCATCACCCATCAGGAGCCACTCGCTGACCAACCTTTGGAAGCTCTCGCAAAGGAAAAACGAGGCTGGGCCTCCTGTGCTCGCTTGCGGCGGAAACCGAAGCCCTGGAGCCACCGTGTAGGACACTCCTGGTCGTAGCTGCAGCAGGCAGCCCTGCAGGGGACATGAGTGTCCCATGCTCAGCGCTCCAGGACATGCAGCGAATCTTCCCTACGCACCAGGGGGCTCACACGGTGAGTGGTTAGAAGGGACCTTTTGCATGAACAGCAAGTTCGCTCGGGACAAAGTTACGGTTGCGCAGACTCCTTTCCATAATGCGACCCAGAGATGGTTTTCTCTCAAGCTATACTGCAAAGCAAACCCTTTTTACAAGGTTTTCAGTGTTTGCTAGTATAAGATACACACACAAAATTTACTCAAATAGAAGAAGCATGGCTAAATCATGTTTTATTACAAGGATTCATCCTTGACGCAGACAAAACTACTACTAGAAAAAAAGCAGCAAGTCTGATGCAGAAGCATCATTCTAGCACTGCTGAGGTCCAAACTAAGGCAGGCATCCATTACTTCACCAGCTCACTATTTCTTGTTCAGTCTGTGGGATTTCTGCATGGAAAGCATCAAGACCAATGCTGCTACTTCCCCGGCAAATACTATGACATACATCTGAAGCACAAAACTGCTACTGGCAAAATGCACACATACCTGCAGGATGTAGGACCCACAGATTTCATTGTACAGCTAATAAAACAAAGATGATTTGGTTTAAAGCTCATGGCCACAAAGCTCCTAAGCTTTCTGATTAGAATAAAAGAATAACCTGAATAATGAATACATTAAAAGAAAAAACAAATGAAGTGGGCTAAAGAAAGTCTTAATGCCCTCATCTCTTTCCACCACCCCCTCCCCCCTTTTAGACCTTTCTGGGTTTTTAAATAAAGGCCCTGGGCTACAAGTTTCTGCCAACATTATCTAAAAACAAACTTCACAGAAGGAAGGATCGAAAGCAGCAGGTGCATGATTGAAATCAAACTCTCGGGAGCAAATACATTCAGTGCCGCTCCTCTGCTAGCGGAGCGGCATGACACGAGGCAGCCCTGTGCCAGGCTTTCACAGTCCCCCAGTAACGGCTCAAAAGGCATTCAGAAGAAATAAAAAGCAGATCCTGGATGAACCTTTACTATTAGAAATTGCGCCTATCTAGTAAAACACAGCAAAATCTAAATGCAGAATTTCATTAACTGTTTCCTTTCACCCATTACTGTGAAATTGCCTTATTTCCATCAGAACCAGTGGATTCCACTTGGATGAGCAAAAATTCAGCATGAGTGAAAAGATACTAAACACTCAGTAAATCACTTGGAAGTTTACAGTAGGAATTCATTTTCAGAGAACCACTTCAAGTTTAGAAAATAATTTTGGATGTCTGCTCTAAAGCGCACTGTCTTCAATCATCTGTGACCTTTTATAATGGAATCAGAAGAAAGAAAAGAGTTCTTTATGGTGAGCTTTGGGGAAAGAGCTTTGAAAATAACCACTTCTGCCAAATTGGGACAATCAATTATTATAAATAAAAATTACACAAAGAAGAAATTAAAGCTCGTCTGTCCTGCAGTCCTAATGGCATTGCAGCCCTGCAAACACCTTATCCCAGTAACCTTAGGCATAGCTTGCAACGGTATCAATGGCAACCACTGTGGACTCCACCTGATTTTCTATTACGCATGAAGAACCTTGCTATTACCTTAAAAATACAACAACATAATGTCCGTTCTGTTGGGGAATGGCTCAATACAGCTAGTAAATTCTTTGAGACTGGGACTCGCTCTCTTTTTTTTTTTATGTTTTAATATTCAGAAGGCATGGACATGTGAGGCAAGTCCTCAGTCTCAGTGTTTGTTACAAGGCTAAAGCTTCTCTGATTAAAATCCTAAACGTGAGAGGTCTGTATTAACACCACCCGAGCCTAAGAGCAAATATCTTTTCCTGTGCAAAGGACAAGAATTCTCCTGGCTCGGAAATGAAGGGAGAACACATGCATTTCCCTTATTAGCTATATCCGCATGGGGGGTATTGCTGCCGATTCGGCGGTGAGCTTGAGCCTTCCCCGTGCCCTCTCCAGCCTCTGCATATGTGATTACGCGTCGATGCATAGTCAGCCTCACACCCTCTATTTCCATATTAAACGCTTACAAGAAAGAGCTGAGCTGGTACCCACCTAGAACGTAGTCGCTGCAGTCCAGCATTGCTGTGGGATCCTCTACAGGTTCAGGTAGTCCAAGGAAAGGGAAGATGGCAATCCCTATCAAACCTACACTACCGCTCTCAAGCAAACGAGCCAGGGAGTGGGGAGGTGGGGAAAGAAACACAACTTCAGTTACACCATAGCAATCTTCAACTGAAGAGGGAAACTTCAGTTGCTCGGTGGAGTTTTAGTCTCTCCTACTAGCTGTGTCTGACATTGTCAAGGCGACTGAAGCGTGAAAAGTTCCCCTTTTTGTAATAAAATAGAAACAAAGATTGCAGCTGGCAGTTTCCATAATGAAGCTTAATCAGTATGCGCCTGATTAGGGCCTTATGCAAATCTCCCCTCGTTAGCACAGCAGCCAGCACTTTGAAGTCCATGAACAATTCATTTGCAGAGTACACTGAAAGCGCTCCCTGCATAATTTAAATTGTGGTATAAATATTTATCAGCTCATTTGCATATTAATTGGCAGTGCATGAAGGGAAAAATTATCTCCCAAGTGCCAGCATAATAATTAGGGAACAAAATGAAATTTCTTCCAATAGCTTGGCTTCCCAGCCCTAACTCGAGCACAGTACCACAGGGGAGCAGCGAGGGGAAGGAGACAGAGTTCTGTTCAAATGCCACCAAAATGACACGTACAAATTAGAAACAACTCTACAGACTTAAGCACCTTCAATCTTATTCCTGCTGCTTTCTACACAATCCAAATAAGTCCAAGAAAACAATTAGCAAGGTAGATGCTGAATGGGGAGCTGTCAGACCAGTGCTCGCACATCTGGGTGGACTTTTCCACATCTGAACATGAACTGTCACAGGATGGTGCTGGTCAGTGAGAAGGGTAACGTTCGGGCAAGGAAAGGGCACAAGTCTCCTTGAATGGCAAAAGAGCTTGGCCGTTCATCACCTGCTAATCCCTTTGCAGTGGCCAAGTTAGTTGCAGTGCCTATGTCAAGTACTGTGTAGCATTTGACGCTCACTGATCAGGATGGATTTAGTTTTAAACTTCCCAGGCGGAAAGCACCACATACACAAAACCTTGCCCACTCTCAGCCCCTTCCACAATTGCACACAAAACAGTTGAATGAGGCTTACTATGGAGCTGGGAATTTTTAAAGCGACATTTTTATACCCAGGTTGCATCCTTGAACCACCTCTGAGAACCAGCACACTTGCTACTGGACCATGCAACAAACTGGAGGACAAGAAAGAGGCTTTGGTTTTCGTCTAGGGCAGCATTAATGCCCCTTTCTTAAAGCAGTGCATAGAATTAAACATACTGAAGAACTACAGCCCTAGAATAAATCATTTTAAATGCTTTGTTTACCATTCAAATTCCAGCTCCCAAAGCAGCAGGAGCATTGATAAATGATTAACTGTAAGACGCACACCACAACGTTTAACATTATCATGGACAGAAAATGTGATTATTAATGCTGAGGACTACAGGCTTTGGGCCACCCACTTGCAGATTTTAATGGGAATTTAATAAAATAGCATTTAAGATAGCTGTACCTCTCTCCTCCTGAAGTGAATTCAGGCACCATCTCTCCAAACAAGAGAGGGAGCAAGACAGAAGGGACTTCTCCGTCATCTGGTACTGACTGAAATTTATTTCCATGCTTGACCTCTTCCTCTGTTCAGGTTCATATCTCTGCTTAACACAAGATGTTCCCCACTATATATTTAACATGAATGATCTACACTTGAAAAAGATGATAAGAAGGCAAGGTGTTGCTAACTGCAGGGACGCAGCTATATGCTGAAAAGGCTGCCCTAACACCGTGTTTTCCCCTTGGTTTTCTACTCGTCTGGGTGTCCTATTAAAGACCCCTGAGGTCCATGGCCATGGCGCAGAGCCCTTCAGGCAGCTGCACTCTTCTGCACGTGCCTCTGCGCTGCGCTGTGAGCTGAGCCATTTATAACACCAGCAGAGTGTGGACACACGCGGCACGGTAAGGCAAGCGCTTCCCAAAGCCAGCGCTGGTGTCCTGATCGGCTGAGCTCTGGGCAGCCGGTAGCAGGGCAGGATGACAGCAGTGTCATCACTGGGGTCCTGCACAACCGAGGGTCCGTGTCGAGCCGGCTGAACACAGGTGCAGTGTCAGAAGCAGATGAACGCAGGAAGTGACCGTTATAAGCAGGCACGTGTAGTGACGGATGACTTTACCAAATACCAGAATAAGCAAACAGTAAATAAAGGCCAGGGAAGGATGTCCCTGAAGCAGCATTAGCAAATGTTCTGATGGCACCACGGTGCTGGTCGTCATCCATAACACCAGCACCAGCTTGACAGCTAAACTTTAAAGAGACGTTTACTTACTAGTCCCGATTGCGTCAATCAGCTTTTTTTCGTACAAATACCAACTCCCACACAAAGATATATTTGAAATGCAACCTCATATTAACCTATGCTTATCAAAATAAATCCTTATACACTGACTACCAAAACTAAACTTGGCAAAAAAAAAAAAACTTTTCTTCCATGAAAGGGTAGTCTTGACAACTTTATCTTCCCTATTGTCTAAGTGCAAAGTTTTTCACTAAATACCTAAGTTACGTTATCCTCCATATATTCTCACTTCAAATGAACATTTTTGCCTTGCTGTTTCTCCCACCAATGTGCCACTATTTATTCGGTTCTAATGTCTACACTTGATAAAGTTTCTTACATTTTGGTTCCCCCTTCAGGTTACACAGTCCTTGGCTAGACCTGCTTTTGCGGCTTCTCTGTTTTCTCCTCTATTTTTTTTCCCTGCCATTTATTATGCCCAAGTCACAGACTGCAAATTGGTTAGAAAATAATCTGTATGATGTCCTCAAAGCAAAATTATTATCCATTGTCATACATACTTATGCACACACACATATATATGTATAAAAGTAAATGATATAAATAGCAGCCATTATTACCAACTATGGGGAAAAGATTTTAAAACCTTGTCTTTGATGGTATCCACCTGTTTCTTTGCAATTACAAATAAGGCAGAATTAAAGACAAAATTATTACCAACATTCTTCCACTCAAACACCTTTATAGGGGAAAAAGTCTTCATCCTTATAGAGGTATGCTTCCATATTATAAGAAAAGTGTCATTTACTTCATGCCCTCGATGACAGCTCGGCCATTTCTGCCGCTAGGTAGCTGTGCTTGACAAGCGTGACCTTTACAAACGTTCTCACACTCGCGGCAAGACTGCCCAACGCGCCCCCAATGCAACGCTTTACTTCCAAGAGGTACGGTTGGACTGATGCAAGGAAACGACAAGTGCTATTCGCCGTATCACCATCCTGCCTTTGCTTCACTTTGTCCTGAAGAACCCCTGGAAAAGATGGGTGATGGAAGCTCTGAGAATAGCGCACGGCCTGGCACTGTGTCAGTGACCCCTGGAAACACCCAGGGCAAGACGGCTTTCCCTGCGGCACGGCGGCCAAGAACAGCAGACAGGCCCTAGCCCTAACTTACACGACACAGAGCGCCTACATTTTAACTCAAGACATTTCCAAGTCTCATCACACAAGGTAAATGAAACCTAATAAAAATTTCATCAAACAGAACTCCAATGAGTTATAGAAAACACCACATACTTCAATAAAGTAAACTTACTGAAGGTGGCACAATCTTCTTAGAGTAATTATGGACAAACAGCAGTTAAAACTGCAGCTAAGCTCTAATTTAGTTACAGATTTTGTCTTGTCTAACAAAATTGATTTTATCTGGAAATTGCTAAGTTTGTGTTGAAACCCAAAGGGCAGTTTTCTGGAAAAGTCAAATAAAATTGGCCTGGTTTAGAATTACAGGTCACCACAGAATTACTACGAATTGAAATTTTGGTCTATATCTAATTTTACTTCTCTCACAAACTCAAAACATGACTGTTCTTTCAAACTTTCCATTACATAAATCATCTTCAAAATTCTTTCATTCTTTAGTTGAACAGAATCAAGCATGGGGATGACTAAACAGGAGCACTAAATATCTCATCAGAAGAGGACAACAGACACGCTCAAGTAGCTCATGGACCAGCACAGAGTTTTGTTGCAGTGTTTCTTCGTTCGTTTAAATCTGACAGTTATTTTTCATCTACAGAGCGCAGCAACTACAGTCTAATAAAATCACCATGGTAGTAAGAAAACTGTGATCATGTCAAAATTACAGCAGAGTGCAACCATAGGGAGAGGGGGAAAGAAAGACTGTGAGTGCCAGGGAGGGGAACGAAAGGAAAAGAAAAGACAGCAACAATTTTAACCAAAGTTACAGTGTCACAAACTGGGCCTTATTTAAAACACCTAATGCTGTCATCCTGGCCCATCAGCTCGACAGCCTGGCTGTCCCCTCACTGCCTAAAAGTTAGAGCATGTAAGAAAGTATCAGACTTAGATCCACATAAAAGTTTTTGGTGGTTTTTTTTTCCATTTTGTTGAATAGTGTATTTTCAGAGGCAAAGGAGACGAATTCAGTGCAAGTTTAATAAGCCTACCACACAGCAAACCCTTTGTGTTCAAAAACACAACTTTGATCCATGAAACAGTCATAACATTTGCTTAGAAATCATGGAATATTTTTGAAGAGTAACAAACATTGGCTCTTTACATCTTCTGATTTAAGAGCTCAGGTTTCACTCATTATATTTTCAGGGTTTTCATCACTACCACATAATGGCTTGAGATGCTTTTATTTTTTACACTAAATGCCAAGTGTGTCATAAGGACTGACTCCAGGAACTTGATTCAGGGGGGAAAAAAAAATCAAAAAATCATAGTATTTGAGAACAGCAGATTGGGGTTATTTAACTAGCACACTGCATCTACCATAAAGCAATATTTTTCCATAGATGCAAGAAGACACTCACCTACTTTTAGTTTAACTGGAAGTTAATATAAAAGTGGAGCAAGTCATGCTTTGATTCCATCACATTCGAGGCGCGGATTCGTTAGAACACATATTCACCTCCTAGTAAACTTGCATATAAAAAGTGTCACAAGGTTGTGCACCAAACTTTCTAAATCACAAAAACTATTTTTTAAATGTAAAAATTTGAAGGGAAAAACAAAAGCTTTTGAGCTTTTAATCACACACATTTATTTGGGTCTCACTTTCAAGCTATTCATTTGTCAAAGCTGAAATATTTCACACTGACAAATATTAAACATCTGGAACACATGCGTGTGG